TGTACAAATAATTGAAGCTGAAATGTTTGTTATAAAAAAACTTATAATTAATATATTTGAACAACTTTTTTGTACAACAATCTGAATTTGAGTTTGAGTCTGATAGTGAGAAAAGAAAAGAGTTGTAGGAACAGTGGTCATAAAATTGAGGAATTTGATTATAATTTATAGTAAGTTGAATTTTTTGTTTTGATAAAATAAAACTGTTTTCATTTTTTTGTTCTAAGCAGTTTGACAATAACTAATTTATCGATAAAAAAACAAAAAAATTGTAATATGTTTTGTAAGTAAAATACAGCTGAAAGTTGTTAGGTTATTTTTATTTTAGTTTAATTAAACAAATTTGATTATGTTCTTTCAGATTTGCAGCCTATGATATCATCCAACAACAATTCTCTGGCTTCTGAATTGAACATTAATGGATTAAAAATAGTTTCAGAAAGAAGCCTAGTATAAACTATAACAGGCAGCACCAGTTGCATATCTGGTTCCTTCAAATGTCTGTAAAATTTCGCACATAAAATCTGTTTCACCAAGTTGAAAGATGTTAACAGCAACACAGGAATTTTCTTCACAGGCTATACGACATTGATCGGCATCCTAAAATTATTCTTCATTGATACTTGTTTTTTTTTTGGGGGGGGGGGATCAGTGCCCCAGAAAAATTCAATGTGTGTCAACTGATCTGTAAGCAATGGTTTAAAAAAACAAAAGACAAAAACTGCAGAAAGCAGGTTTTTTTGCTGAAATTATTTGTTTTCAGAAAAAAACTTGAATACTGTTTTTTGTTCATATTTTTTCTAAGCTAAATTATATATATATGGTATTTGTAGTTTCTTTTTTTTCTTGATTTTTAAATTATTACTTCTACTGACGTTGGAAAGCTTTAGAAATACAATTGGCGAAACTTTTGTTAAGTTTTTCAACTCAAAAAAACAAAAGAAGGTAAAATTAAACTGCTTTTTTTCTTCTCTATTTGGCTATTTCTACACTGTATTGTAAAAAAAAAATTTTAATTGTTTTCAACATTGACAAATGCTGTTGAAAGATTAGCATAAAACTGTTCAAGTTTTTTTTAAGTAGTAAACAAAATAAAAGTGACATATTTTGGTAGTATAATTTTAATTAATACAGGAAAAAAAAAGCAATATGTATATTTGTTTTTCAAATTTACAATAACACTGATGAAGAAAAGAGCTGTGAAATTTGAAGCAAAATTTTTAGATATAAATATTTTTTATACATTTTCAAGGCTTTAATGCAACTTGCAATCAGTCTTATTTGGTATTTCCAAGTAAAAGCTTTGTAGAAAAAAAAGTTGTTGTTTTTTTTTTTCAACCAAAATTTTTCTATCTTTTTTCAAAT